AAGACACCAGCTACGCATAGAAAAAGAGAGAAATGTGGGTGGGGTCTGGTCGGTTGATGAATCTGGCCAGTTTATTAGGACAGCAGGTAGCTCACACCAGGTTCATTCTGATGGACTTAGCCAGCTAGATTTTGTCCAACCTGCGCAGAGACTTTCATCCTTTGAGTTTGAGCAACCAAGTCAGCTTGAAAGGAACTCCATGTTTCATGAGCGAAGAGGGAATTTTGAAACAAGCTCACAACCCTTTGAGAGGACAGGTTCTATATCTGCTGGTATGCATGGGTCAAATGTTGACATAGCAAATGCCTTAGCACGTCTTCAGGCACTAGATGTGCAGGACCCTCATGGTCAGATGCATCCATCTGTTCAGAGAGGACAATTCGCTTCTGAAAGTACTCAGCATTGTGCTCCTAACCAATTTGCAGGTTCTCACTTAGATGTTGTGGAAAGTCACTGGCCTGAGCACAACAGGCAGCTGTCCAATGGTTTCATAGAATCTCACTTAAACCAGTTGCATCTTGAAGCTGAGAAGCAGAAGAGGAACATGAAAGCAAATCTATCTGGGAGGGACCCAAATTCACGGGCAACTCTTGTGGCAACTGATGAAATCTCGAATCGAGGATTAGCTGACCTCTTCCATCATAATATGATCCTCCAATCCTCACAGTCACTAGAATTAGGTGATCCTGCTTCAACATCTTATGAGAACAGAGATGCCTCTTGGCCCTTTTCTCGGGCTGCCTCAGACCATTCGTTTAATTTTAGTGCAGATAAATTTGGTTTAGCCAATTCCTTTAGAGACACTTCTTTATATAATCAAGGACAAGGACAGCAGGACCACTTTAATGCAAACTTAGAAAGATGTGAAAGCGCTGGAAGATTAGGTTCTCGTTCTAGCTCTGCAGTAGTTCTGGAGAGCAATCAACTTCTTTCAGATGTGGATGAAATTGGAAAGAAATATTTTGTCGATTCACTAGGTGGTGATACATCTTCTGATAGAGTACTCCCTTCAGATGTAATGGAGGGGAAGACAGTGAAGAAGCGAGGTTCTAAAGTTAAGTTGAGTAGGTCAGTCCTGGACGTCACGGAAAGTGGTATTGAGCAGACTGCAAATTCTGTTATAGATAATGGAGATCTGGAATTTAATGCACCCACTAGGCATGCTTCATTTGGCAGCAGCAGTAAGTTGACTGAATGCTTGCGTTCTAGTATAACTTTATGCAAAGATATTCATATGATTTTAAGCTTTTGGAGTTGTACAGGTGGAGGTTCAACTTTCTACAATCATGCAACTGGAGTTGATAATGCTTATAGCGCAGATCTGTCTAACCATAAGTAAGTATTGATTGCTTACAGTGTTAGTGGACATGAATCTAGATTGCTAAACCATAGAGTCAGTAACCAATAATGAAGCATCACTTCCTAATGTCATGAAAACTTATGAATGTTCATTCTTCTATTATCTTTATATAATATCTTTTATCTGGTTATTGGATCATCCTCGTGATCTTCGTCAGTGATCATCATCATTATCATCATCAAGAACAGTTTTTCCAACCACCAACTTGGTTGGCTCCTGAAGGAAGCTCTTTTAGGCAAAAGCCCACCAGGAATTTATGTTTTTTGTTTAATAATTTGTTTACCTTCATTCTTTAGTCTTCTACTTAGAATTATTCTTAGCTTCAATTGGAAGTTTCTTTGGCTACTTTAAATTCATGTTCATGTTAATTGTCTTATTTTTCTGAATGATCAAAAGAATAATTTATTTTGCATTGTTACGTTGCTTGTGTTATATTGAAGTCAATGGTCATACTGCCTTGCTTGCACCTATCATACCGCCTTGCTTGCACCTTTTAGGAGACTGTTCTAAAAACATAATTGAATAAGTTTTATTTAATAATAGTTTCCCACTATCAGTGTGCATTAGTTATTGCACATCTTAGAGGACAATAAACCACTGATATGGGGCGATACCTGTTTTCACGTGATTGTTTTTTGGATCTGAATGGTCCAAAGAATGGCATCATTCTTTTTTGCTATTTTTTTGGTTTGAAGTCATTGTTCGCACTTTTTGTACCCAGTGGTTAGGATGTATAGTGCAGGCAGTTATTCCATATTTTCTCGGAACGAATAGAAATGGTTCATCGTGAAATATCTGTATTCTTGTGGTATTGCCATTTTGTTGGTCTTACTGAACCACACTGGCATATTATTTTAGTAGATTTTCTTCTTGCACAGTTACCTTGCAACAAAGCTGCACTGTTACATGGCTTGTCTTTTCAGATAACTCAATTTGCATGAAATAACAGATTTCCCTTGATTTTTGTCGAATGGCAAAGCAATGATCCATCATAGCAACCAGGAGTTCTGAAGCAGTCAACCCTAACATTTTTCATATCCTTTATCTTCAATCAAAACTTCTTCTTGTTCTGTTTGACAAATAATGCAATGTGTATAACCATTTAACTTGACATTGCTTGCTAGTTTCGAACTCAGCATTTTCTCATGTCCCCTCACGCCCTTTCCAGAATTAAGATTTAGATTTTTAATAATCCTTCGTTTTAGCACCACTGGCTACAATAGAGTTACTGTCCCTCCCAATCTGTATTTGTGCTTCTTTTATAGACGTATTTTGGAGTGAGGAGTATTCATATTGTTTCCTTTTGATCAGGGTAATGAATGAAGGTACTAAAAAAGCAACTGCAAAGAATAGACTATTTCATGTATTATGTTTTATTTTCTAAGAGAGATTTAATGTCTCCAGTATACTTGTGTTGGTTTAGGAAAGCAGTGGATCTTGTTCATAGTTGACCATATTTGCTTAAAGTGTTTGTTCCTTTTTGCCTAAAAATATCTTGTTGAGGGCATGCTATGAATTGGTGTTGAGCATGTTCATATCTTTATAGTACCCAGAACATGTACCCTGCAGTGCTTTGTAGATTAAACCAGCCTGTTTCTTATACTTATGTTATATTATATCTTTTTCCCCTTTAGGCATTTTCTGTTATCATACAGCAATATAATTTGATATTAAGACATGAGTTTTCTGTTATATTTGCAAATAATAGTTAGACTTGTGAGACAGTTAGAGATGGAAAAATATTTCTGATGCAAATAGCTTATTAAAATATTTGGTGCCCCTAACATTTTTATTTTATTATTGAATTGAACAGCATGTTGTTTGTACCTCATGTTTATCTTTATTACAACTTAATTTAGCTTGTTAAGCATAAGACAGGAGCTCAAAATTGTCAACTATGGGTTCGAAAATTAATAAATAAGTTGTTATGAAGTTGTAGGGAGGTCTTGACTTTCATTTAGGGTGTAGTATGTAAAAGCCTGATGTGAAGATCGTTGATGACGCTTTTGGATGGTCAAAACAACTACATGCCCCCTTGATCGGTTCGTGCTGCTGCCTGCTTCCCTTTTTTTGATTTAGACAACTGGAGATGCATTGGTTAGTCAAATTTAAGGTATCTGCCACAGGGATTTGGTAGACAGCTGAGATCCAGTGGTCTGTATTGCATCTTTTGGGACGTTAGCGCTCATCTATAGTTGTGTAAACTAGTTCAATGTTCAATAATACTGTATCCAAGCCAGGAGTCTTCTGCTTGACGTTTCTCGGGAGCTTTTTCCCCTTTTCCTGAAGTTCTTATAGCATGTAGGAGAAAGCGGCAAACAGGCAAATCTGAAAATTCGATAATTAGCAGACAATGAAATATGTAAAACTAGCATCATCAAACTGCCTGTGGTAGGCAAAGTGCAAAAATTAGTAGGCAAGAAAAGATAAGGACTAGCGTCATGTAGTACTGTTTATGCATAACTTTTTTATTTTTTTAAAGATCAACTATTTGAACTTTTTTATTTTTAACATCAAATATTTTAACATGCAATCGGATTGCTGTGTTAACCTCACAATAAAACTCATTCACATGATACATTGTAGATTTGCTTTTCTTCTCGTCTTATTTGCTTCTCCATTTGAGGTATTTGTTGAAATTGTTCTTTTTAAAATAAGTTTCTTATGGTTTTATATAGGGTGCCTGGGATTCTTTCAAGGGGGACAGCTGCTATCTCTTTAAAGGTATCGTCTCAGGTGTCAGGAGGGGAGCATGACTCTGTTCCATCTATCAGAGGGAAAAACACATCTTCTTTTGTATCTTCTGAAGGTATACAATTCTTATTCACTAAACCTGTGTGGTTTTGATGTACATATTCTTTGGTAAATATCACAAAACCCCAAAAACTTTGGGGTGTTTGCCATGAAAACCCGGTGATTTTTTGCGTGTCGTCGGAAAACTTGTACGGTTTCTTTGGGGTGGGGGGCATGTTGGGTTAGTGGAATAAACAAAGGTGTACTTTTCTTACTAACTGAACACCTGCAGCTTTGCCGTAGATGTTAGGTTAATTTCACAAAGCACCACAATACTTTGGGTGTTCCCTGCAAAAACCCCTTGAACTATCTGATTCCACTGAACCCCTTTGAACTCTGGGGTTCGGTGCGAAACTTCATGTTGGTTTTGTGGAGTAAGCAACGTTGGGGGGTCTTGTGGGAGATGCCTTAATTTCTTTTTATTTTTCCCCTTTTTGTTTGGTGGGTTGTGGAAATTACCCATATTCTTCTGTATTGAAATTGTGGGCCTAATTATTATTTTTTTCGTTTTCAGAAGTAAGGAGAGAACCTGCAGAAAATTCTCCAGAGGTGACTCCTTCAAGCAAGGAGATAAGATTACACCGAACATCCTCAATCACTGATGGCCCTGAAGCGTCATCGTTCATCGACATGCTGAAGAGCACCAAGAAAATGGCTCCTACTGAGCCTGAAGAGCCTCATGATGCTTCTAAGGCAAGCAGCATTAAGAAGAAAGGGAAAAAAGGAAGGCAAATTGATCCTTCTCTCCTCGGCTTCAAAATACATAGCAATCGAATCCTGATGGGAGAGATCCAGCGCCCAGATGAATGATAGATTGCTCTTTGTATATGTTTTTCTTGTAAAGTTTTTAGCCTGTAGCATTTTAGTTTTTGAGGAGTTCGTTTTCATATCGGCTGTGAAACTGTAAAGATGCATGAGTTCCGTTTTGGATTTAAATAGCCTTTAAAGAGAAGTTTTTGTACAGAAAAAAGGGTTCAATCAATACAAGCAAGTATTTTACGGAGGTTTCTTTTCGTTGTTTATGTCTGAAACATCTTGGTTGTTATTCCATCGTTTAGTGTCTAGGTTTGAGGTTGTATTTAAGTGACGATGTTGATCGCCTACCAGTTTAGTAGGCATTTATTGCTGAAGCTTCTAAGTTTTTCTTCCATCATTTATTGTTTGGGTTTGAGGATATATTTAAGTGATGGTGTTGATTGAATACCGTTTTAGTGGGCATTTTTGGCCAGTAAAAGTGGGTCAAACTTGGTTCATTTTTTTCCCAAACAAAAAAGTATACAGAGTGAGCTAGCTTTAGTCCTAACCCAGTTTAAGAGATTACACCTTTAGTTTTTACTTTGTAGGTGTGGAAATTATGGTTTTTTTTAGTATTAGGCCTCTTATTTGTTGACAGTTGTTCTTTTTTTATACTAGTTTTAATACATTGTTGCACCTGGTTAAATATCATGATTAAATATTTTTGGTTTATTTCTTAACTAAAATTTGCTCTGTTCTACTTTAATATTTTTTGCTCACTTTTTTCTCTAAACTTTAACATTGCGATTATTTATATTCTTTGATGTTTGTTTAAATTGGCTACGTACACCCAATTTAAATTTTTATGTTGCTAATTGAATTGATATGTAACCGAAATTATCTGAAGCCAATTTGAATTTTTATATTATTTAGGCTGATATGAAACTAAGCTTTACTTGAGAAAGTATAGTGTTATAAATTTGAAAAATATTAAAATAATGTTATACAATGAAGGCGAATATTTAAAACCAATAAGGCTAGATGATTGATTAAAAGTATACTAAAACGATACAAAAAAAGAATATAAAGTTTGTTCCTAATCATTGATAGACTTCATAAAAGATTATAAACTAAATATTAATGCTAACTCTAGTATATTTTTATATGATTGAAGCATCCATATAAGCATATAAAAGTACTTAAAAAGTTCTATGGAAATCCCTTTTAAAGATTCTTAATTTCTCTCATAACAATTAAACTATTCTGTAAAATATTTAGAAAATATAGTCTTTTATTCCTTCTATTTTTATTTTTTATTAAGCTGAGATTAATCCTTTTTCACATTTATCTTTTTCCTAGGTGATTCTAGAATAGCGTCTTTATCATCTACATTGATTGTGGCATCAAGATGTTAATTTCTAGATTTTGAGGGTGCTTTTTTGTAATTATTAAAATTTGGGGCTATTTTCTTAAAAAATTCAAAATTCAGTCATCTGCCAATAGTTTTTAGAGTTGATGTGTACTGGTTATAAATTTTAACATTTTAGAGTTTTTTTTGTGATTTTTAACTTTGGAAATTTACAGAGGTTGCTGTTAATTTTTTGATTTCATGTTTGTTGTTTTACGTTTTGAATCATCACAAATTTTCATGTGCATTATGGTAATCCCTTGAATTCATCTATGTTGCTTGTAAGTTTTGAAATTATAGAGTTTTAGGGTGCTTATTTATAATATAAACTTTTGAGGGTGTTTCTATAATTTTTGAGACATTAAGGGTATTAACCATAATTTTTAGATTTTTTGCAGGCTGCTGTTAGCTTCTTAATTTTATGTATTATAGTATGTTAGTACGTATAATTTCTTTACCTTAATAAACTAATACCGTAAAGCTATTTTATATATTTTAATAATATTATTTTTTAAAATTATTGAACTATAGATAGTTTATATGTGGTTAGATAGGGTATAATTATGATTATGATAGATTAAGATAAAATAAAATATTTAAAGCAGTGAAGGGTAATATTGACTATGGAAACATTTTTCCGATCTCATGCTTTTAAAAGGAGCATTCGTTTTTATGCACATGGTTAACCATCATTGCTATTTAATTTTTTAAAAATATTTTAATTTTTATGATAAAATAGATTTGTATGTTAAACTATGATTAATATACTTCTATAAAATTGGATGCACAATATCACTTTTTTCAATTTGTTTACATCAAACTTCACGTAATATATTTATTTATCAGATCATCAATCTCCATTTGTTTATTTTAGTTATTAAATGTAGTGTTAAGTATGAAGAAAACTACAATAATATATTGTTGATGGATACAAAATATAAATAAATTTCTAAAAAAAAGCTTGACTTGAGGAAAAACATTACTGTAAAAGTAAAAAAAAACTTAATAGTAAGATGATTTGTATTAGCTCAGCATAAGACACATACTTTCCTCCAGAATGCAGCAGATTTTAATTATTGATAGACCTAAAATAAAAAAAACAAAAGTAAAGATGAATGGTAACTCTAGTATAATTTTACATGGTAAAATCATTTATATAAGCATATAAAAATACTACAACAATTTGCTTGAAAATACGTTCTGAAATTTCCTAATTTTACTTAAAAAATTAAACTATAATATAAAATATATATTGTCCTTTATTCCTTCTTTTTCGTATTTTAATTGAGCTAAGATCAATCCTTCTCCACCTTCATTTTTTTCTGACAATTCTAGAGTAGTTTCGTCATCATCTACGTCAATTACAGCTTCATTTCTTGTGCTATATATGTTGGCCTTTTTGTTTTGATGATGTTTTAACAAACAATTTATAACTAATATTATTTATCTAGTGTTTGTGTTTTTGTATTTATTCTAGACAAACAATCAGTTGGAGGATGGATGGACTAAAGATTTTACGATCATATCCAATGGAGGTTAGAGGAAATAGTAGAGTGAAGCCAATGCATTTCAAGTGAAGATCCAAGTTCAAGCTGAAGAAATGACGAGCACAACAACGAGGACCGCAGGAAAAATAGCAGGAGACATTCTGGCAATTTCGCGGTCGACCTCAGATGACACGGCAGTCGACTACAAACATGTACACGACTAAGAAAAGTCTCTGGACTTTTCGCGATCGACCACGATGGGTTTTACGGTTGATCAGGAAAACCCTGTAGAGGTTTTTAGTCTCAGTCGTTGGATCCGATCGACCGCGCGTGGTTCTACGGTCGACTGCGAGTTAGGTCTGTAGTTGAGTTTTGTTTTCTGACCCGTTTCGTTCTGAGTTGATATATAATCTTAATCCTAATTAATTAGGGTTAAGCAAAGACGTTTTGAACAGTCTTTGATAGGGGATTGCTATATCCAATTGTGAGAGAGTTGTGAGATATCTAGAGGCTTTGTTTTAGGGTTTATTTGGTGAGATTTGTAACCCTATTTGTATTTTCTTAATTTCTAATAATACCCCCTCCTTACCCCGTGGACGTAGGCAACTTGCCGAACCTCGTAAAATTCGTTTGTCTTGTTGTGATATTATGTTTGGCTTATTGGTTGTGATTTATCTCGTTCTTGTTCGTGTGGTTTCGAGCTTCCGCCGCGCACAACAAGTGATATCAGAGCTTCGGGTTTGGCTTGAGGCTTGTTCGAAGGATTCGGTAAAGGATTCCTATTTGAAGAGTTAGATCGACAATATGGGAGAAGCAAACACATCAGGTTCGTCTCTTATGAAGGCAATACAGAGTCTGAGCATCAATAATACGAAAATTGATGTTCCAAAGTTCGACAACAATATCAATTTCGGTTTGTGGAGGTGCCATGTGATGGATGCATTGGATGCACAGAATTTAGAGGATACTCTTGAGTTACAAGAGAAACTCGCAGATATGGAGGATAAGGTTTGGAAGAAGATGAATAGTAGGGCTTGTGGAGTTATTCGGTTATGCTTGATGCCGGATCTTATTTATGACGTGATGAACGAGACGTCGGTGAATAGAATATGGGAAATGCTCAATGAGAAGTGTCTTACGAAGAGCATTGAGAATCTGCTTCACTTGAAGAAGAGGTTTTACCAGTTCAAGATGAAGAGAGGAGTTTCCATTAGGGAGCATGTAAACAATTTCATGAAGCTACTTTCAGATATGACCAATGTGGATATCATGGTTGAGGATGAAGATAAGGCGATGCTACTTTTGTGTTTGTTGCTCGAGGATAATTATGGTACGTTCGTTCTCACTATGATCAATGAAAGAACTACTATTAGCAATAAGGAGGTGACCTCAGCTTTGGTGAATTATAAGTTGAGGAAGAGTTTTGGCGAACCCCCGAGAAGGCATCGGGAGATGCATTAGCACTTCGAGGCCGTAGTCCAAACCGTCGCCAAGTCAACCGCTCAAAATCAAAGAATAGAGGTGCCTTTAAGAGTGTTGGTAGAAATCAATGTTGGTATTGTAAAGAAGAAGGATATTAGAAGATTGACTGCCCAAAGTGGAAGGATAAAGCCGGGAAGAATAATGGGAAAGCTGTACAAGCTTCAGAAGTAAATGTTACAAAAGGTGTTGGCGAACATTCAGATTCAGATTCTCCAGGCTATTCATGCCCTGCACTACTGTCGGTTTGCTATGTCGACTCTACGGAGTGGATGTTGGATTCAGGAGTTACATATCATATTTGCTCTAGGAGGGATTTATTCTCCAGCTTTGAAAAGCTAGAAAGAGGGGATGTCATGCTTATGGGAAATGACCACGTATGTCCTATTGGTGGTATTGGTTCAGTCCGGATCAGGATGCATGATGGTGGTGAGAGAGTTGAAAGAAGTAAGGTTTGTGTCGTAGTTAACGAAGAACATCATTTCTCTTGGTACTTTGGAGGCAACTGGTTATCGGGTGACCTTAGAGGATCTATCGTGAAGGTCACGAAGGGTTCTATGGTGGTGATGCAAGGTGTCAGGGAAAACAACATATACTACTTGAAGGGCAAGACAGTTACAGGGGGTCTGGCAGCTTCTATCACTACAGATGGGGACACTACCACCCTATAGCACATGAGATTAGGACACACATGTGATAAGTCCCTATAGTCATTGAAAAACAGAGGCTATTGAAAGGTGCTAAGACCTACAAGATGGAGTTGTGTGAGCATTGTGTACTTGGAAAGAAGACTATAGTGAAGTTTGGCACCGCTATTCACAACATCCAAAGTATATTGGATTATGTTCACACAGATATTTAGGACCCTTCTAAGAACACATCACTTGGCGGGGCTAACT